CCCCCACCTCCTTGCCTTCTTTCTCTTTGGCCTAAAGGAAGCCTTTTCTAGTGTCTCAGGGATACAGGGACCACCCCTTCTCTGAAGGAGAAGAAAAGGCCCTCATCCATCCTCATGACCCTGGCCCCTGGGTTTTCAGCCTTGCCCCTTGGATCCTCTAACCGGCTGTGTGGGGTAACGTCTCCCTTATCTGGGTCTTCCTTATCTCCCCTTTGAGCCGCTGCAATTTCAGGATTAAAAACTCCTGAATAACAAAAACAAGCCAGATTGGCTTTCTCTGCCTGCTGATGACATCTGCAAGGAGACTGCGGCCCCTTCCCCCATCCATGAGCAAGAAGATGCAGAGGAAGGGAGACAGGGACAATCCAGAAAAAAAAAAGTGCTTTGACCGCCAGATAGGAATGGGAAGGGGCCACAGGAAACCTCCTTAGGAAGGTGAAGTTCCCTTCAAATACTAGTCTGGGAGGAGGGCCCACTGAGAAAGGAAGGAGGGAAAGCGGGAAAACCAGGAGAGGATCGAACTGTTCGTGTGTGCCTCAAAAGCCTGCACCTCTGCCCACCCGCTTCCACACCCAAGTCTTCTGGCATTTACTTGCTGGGTCCTGCCTTGGATAAGGTAGCTTGCTGAACCAAGTTAAGTCCCTGTCAGGCCTGTTTACCTCTAAAACTGTCTGGAAAGAAGGATCTTTGCCGGCATATCCAAACCTAGCTACAGAGAGGCAAGCTGGGCAGCCTACTCCTGGGGCAGGCAAGAGCCTGGGGTAACCAGTTGTCCTATGACAAAGAGTCCAGGCCTAGCATACAGCAGCGACTCAGATCTGGGTCGAGGCTCATCCCCTCCTCCCCCAACTGCCCAAGCAGGAGAAGGAGCTGGTCCCCTACCTACCCAGGCCCATAAGAAGGAAAGTGGCCAAGAACAAAGCCAAGGCCCTCTCCAGAGCAGAACTGGGGTTTAGATTCGTAATTAGCTGAGCGGGGAGAAATAGCCCAGGAAATGCGCACAACCCCAAAAAGGCACCACTGCGCGTTGTGCATCCGGGACAAGTTGAAGTGTTGTTGTATGCGTGTGCGGAGGCACGGACTCTTGTAATAAAATCGTAGTCTCCTGGCCAGCCCGAGCCGTGCAGCCTGACAGCTCAATCACTCTATCCATCAGGCGAGTCAATCAAAGCAGCTTTTCGGAGGTTCAGGGAGCCCGACGTGTCAATAACGGGGCTCGAGATGGCGGGAGCTGATAGTGCGCATCGATCCGCGCCCGGCCGGCAGCGGTGGGGCGGCGAGAGACCAGCCAGAGGGAAGCGGCGCGTGGCTACGTTGTTCCCGGCCCCCTGCCGGACCGGGCGCCTGGAGTGCTGATCTTGGGCCAAAGCTTCTGCTGCTCTCCCAGACACTGCGGGCCTGGGCGTCGGGCAGGCCTTGGCCTCCTGTTCCAGAGCCCAGCTCAGGTCTCCTCCTCGGGTTCGCCAAGCGCGAGGGGCACACGGAAATGCAGTGGAAGGAAAGCCGAGAAAAACAGGCCCACGGATGCCAGAAATCTGCTAACTGCTGGATGTGCTGGTGAAAAAAGGAAAGTGCCAGGCGGGGAGGATGTGGGAGCCGTTCTGCGGAGAAGCTACGGAGGAAACTGGCTCTCATACCCTTGGCCCGGCTTTCTGACCTGAGCCTGACCTGTTTTCTCTCCTCTCCCACTGTTTGTCAGTTCCAGAAAACCAGAGGCTGCCAGCACCCACCTTTTTGGCAACTGCCTTTCCCTGGATTCTACCCACCCGGGTCAGACTCTTCGCTACCCGACCAGGGGAGAGGGACGGCTTTCAGACGCTTTCCTCCCTGTCTTCCTGTGTGTCCCCATATTTATCAGTGTAAACGGTCACTCCGCAGAAAATATCAAGATGGTGTTTGTGTTTGTAAGGACACACTGTGAATATAATTTTTCTGAACAAGGCCTTCTCTGGTCCAATCTGGCCCCCGGACGATCCGGCTGGTGGGATTTCAGACACACATCACTAGGCCCACCTTCCTGCCATATCTAAACACCCTGGAAACAAAATCATTGACTGTGTACTTTTCCTAATAATAATAAAGATAAAAGACAAAGAAGGCCCCAGGGATTCAGAGTTCAAAACCAAAGAATCGAGACTCGAGCCTCCTGTGCCACGAGCTGTAGCTTCTCGGGTGGTGGCCGCAGAGGCCAGGATCGCATAGCTGGGTGAACGTTCGGTTGCGGCTGGAACTGGGGTGAGGAAGCAGGCGTGAGAGACTGGAGTACCCGAGGCCGGGTTTGCTCTCCCTAGCGCCGCAGCTTGGCGTTCTGGGGCGGTCCGCGAGGCCAGAAAGCATGGCGCAGCCCGGAGTTGGGTACTCACCGGAGGATGGACGATCCGAATAACGTGTGCAGTAGACCCAGGCGGGCCATACGAGAGGCTGCTGCGAGTCAGTTTTGACCACGGGCCCGCCGTTGGCTGAGCCCATAAGTAGGATGGCGGGGTTGCCGTGCTCCGGGTATTTGGTGCCCTGCGCTCCTGGGCTCCCTGCGCCGCCTCCACTGCCGCCGCCGCC